ATTCTTAGCCAATATAATCATGTGTAGTGGTGGCAGAATGTACTCTTGAGTTCTGTGCAATTATGTTACAGAATTTCAGCATTGCATTTATTTGTAAAAATATCCTGTAGCTATATAACATGTGAAGTTGTTATGCCCTAACTATTATTGCTTTTCTGTCTATCTCTGAGTAACTACCAACAAAGAAAACAACGATAACATTCTGCAGCCGAGGAGAGTTCTTTCTCATGTATTTCATGAATGTCATAGGAAATCTTAGCCAAAATTTAAGGCAGAAAGAAAAAAAATATGTCCTAGCATTTTTATTGTATCGCCTAAAATAGTTTCAGGACTGATTTGAAACGACATCTAGTAGTAATAATAACAATAATAACAACATCATCATCAACAACAATAATAATAATAAAACACTTGCTGGAACAATTATATCAAAAAATTTATCTAAGTGGTGATTTATCACCAGTTTTAGGGTCTTCCACCTGTCAGTGATATAATGAGGATAGTGCACCGGGAAAAGACCTCTGTAATGAAAACTATAACCTCCTCTGTGTCCTAGGATTTCAGATCCTTATGACAACTCAGTCATTCCCAATCAAAAATTAAACTTTTTTCACTTTTTATTTTTTTTTTCCTCCTTATTGAAAATGAAGCTAGTTCACTAGCTTCACAGTGGGATGAAGAGGTGTTCAGTGTCCAGAGAGTAATCCAAGAACAGAGTCCTAAATAAGAGTACTCCAGTACTATTGTAGTACATTGTGAGAGTAGTACTACTCTCACAATGCTAAACTGTTGTGACCTTTTATTCACTTAATAGCATCTTTAATTATATGAGAAATTGTAACAATGATGGAATTTTGATTTATAAAAACACCTTTAAGCTAAAGAGAAAGAAGTAGAGATGTCAAAATAATCATAAAAAGAGATTTGCTTAAAGTTTTCCAAATGCTAAACTTCTTTCTTTAAAAGCAAGTTGTGATCCCAAAACTTTTGTATCTGATTGGTCTTGTAATGTGTCAGGGGCCCGTTAACATTTCTGTGTGGCTGGATCTAGAGATAGTACTTTAATAGATACTGACATTATTCATTGATCATTAGTACTTGATCCTTCCTACTATGCAAATGAAAAATGTTGACAAATCAGAATCATGCCAATTTTACTCACTTTCTATTCACAATTTTTAAAAATTGTATACAAGGAACATGGGAAAGCATAATCAGACTCATGACTTCTGTTAACTAACAGTAATGAAGCACTAGAGCAACTTTGAACTGTTTGAGTATAGAAGCATTCATTTTTTCACAAGCCAGCAAAAGTTAATCCAAGATACTTTATGCAAATTTACATAATTGACAGCAGATATGATTACCACGTGCAGAACATTTTACTTCATACTTTAATCTAGTTAAGAAACTCTATTGTGACTATAATGCCATTTGTAATTATTTTCATTTATTCCCACTCAGTGGAAATTCGATTCCATGTTTGTATTCTGTTGCAAATTTTCATTGAGATCTGTGCTGCAAATACATCATTGGCATACTTACCTATTTAAGATAGGCAGGAATATCTGTGTCCCCCACAGTACCAGGTCAGTATAGACAAATCCTGAAACTTCTCAATGCCCAGGTAGAACAAAAATTCTAAACTAGACTTCAGTTTTGACTGACATAAAAAAACTTAATAACATAAGTTTAATTCATCTGTGCTAATGTACCAGACAAAGCTTAAATTTTGCTCTGAATGTTGAAATATTGAAATGTTGAATTTTGAATTTTAAAAGTTGCATCCATTTAAAGGCAGCAACAGCTTTAGCTTAGCCAATGGATCTTTAAAACTAAAACAATAAATTACAAAACAGTAGATATCATGCAATTCCCTGAATAAATAAATAAATTTAGTCTATTAAAAGGTTTGTTGATTAACTATTGTAAACTGAAGAAATGGATTTTACAGTGAGCTCATTTATCTGGGTAGTGCAGGCAAATTAGTGTTTTTCTGAAAAACAATGTTTATTATGTTTATTGGGAATCAATAAATTATAAATCCTAACCAAAGAAAACAGTGCAATTCAAAAGCAATTTTAATAACCTATAAAAAGATTTTACTAGCATGTTGGCCAGATTTATGTATACCAGAGAATATAAAATTCCTTTAAAAAACACCTCATTTTCCAGGACCTTAACTATTTAATAGTGTACATTCATAACAAAACATTTATGTCCCGTGCATGTATGAGACAAACACTTAGATTTCTCAACACTCTCTTGAATTCCCTGGTGCAGAATACAAACTTTAAAGATGAACAGCAATACCCTAATTTTACCGCCTGGAAGACAGGGAAGAAAAATTATACTTCTAGTGTCAGCAGCAAGCTAGAATACTGGCTGTATGGAAGTGAAATTGAAGTTTACTGTTGATTAAGCCAAAACAAAATCTCATCCAAGGAATTTAAAATATTTATTACTGATGAATGAGTAAGTAAAATGTACATAAAGTCTGAGTAATAACACTTCTACTATAATAAATACATTAAAAATAAATAAATAAATAAAATTCTCCAAGCTCTGTTTTTAATAACATATTTAATTTGCAGTGTAGTTGTAATATTTCATCTTCTCTGGTGACACTCTTTATTCTCTTTTGATCAGTGAATGTAAAGACCTTGTTTATGCACATCTATTGGGAGCTGAAGCAGGATTGATTGTTCCTGTTCTTAGAAAACTTGATTCTCTAAATGGAAAAGGATTAATTTCTATTCAACACTATTCTCTCTCTCTAGCAGGATTAAATAGACATATTTGAAAATGGGGAGGTTAGCTTTGTATTTTAAAGTGCTTAACGCAAGAGAGAAAACTTGCATACCAAATACTGTATTTATCAGTATTGCATTATCATTTAAAAAAAAAAAATGTAACTGATAACAGATCCACTTTTTGTTTTGGTTACAGTGTGCTGAAATCTGTAAGTGGATTACCAAACTGAAGTGCTAGGCTGAAGGGTAATATCCCACAGGAAACTCACTGCTTTGTTTCTTGAACCCTTTTAATGCTAGCCTACACATTCAGAAAAAAACAGCTAAGGTCAGTACTGCTTTGACCAGGGGAGAAAAAAAAAAAAAAAAAAAAAAAAAAAAAGAAGGCAAGAAAGGCAAGAGCTTTCAGCAGACTTCTGCATCTAACTTTTAGGATTTTGTACCAAACCAAACCAGAATGAAGAAACGCTCAGCACGGCCAGAACTAAGGTTGAACAGAGCCTCATAAGGGATCTAGTTTGCCTGTTCCTTTTGGTAAATAACAATTAGGATCTCCAGATCTATGTAACAAAACGTCACCAGAGTGAAGCAAACATTCAGAAACACAGTTAAGGACCTCTGACCTTGACTGGAAGCCTGCAATGAGGGATCCTGCTTAAATCTTTCACAAGATGGACATTTCCTCTACACGTGAATGATTGAATTATTTGGGGGCTAAGCTAAGTGGGCTATAACAGCAAAAATCATTTCAGTTACCTTATGTAACTATGTAATTCAGAAGAATAGAATTATTTTTATTTTTATTTTTTTTGAAGTTAGGCCAATAATTTGTGTGTGGTTTAGTTTCTGCTTTGATAAGTAGCATTTTTACAGATAGAAAGCTATCTGGAAAGCTATAGAAAGACAGAACTGGATTCCCATTCCATCACCAAAATTATTGGCTAAAATCAAGTTTCAGAAGTCTTCAATGGTGAAGGCAGGAACAATCTAGCTTTAACATTTTTTAAATTAGGTATCTACTACAAGAGTCAGGTCCACCACTTCATTGTAACAATGAAATAATAGAAGTGCAGGGAAAATAAAGTTGAAAGACAGAGAGGGATCAGGCAAGGAGAACTCTTATTTTTAATCTTCTCGTCTTTCAAAAGGTAGGAGCTAAATTTCTCTTTCAACTCATTCTTTCCCAGCTGTGAAACACAATAAAATATTGAATGAAGTCTATTTTTATTCTGGAGGATGGGAAAGAGATACAGACTCTTTCTACTTGCACTGTATCAAATCAATACACCAATAACCAAAATCAGTTGCTTTCTGAAGAATGTTCTATCATTTGTGTGTAATGATTTTCTAAGGACTTAATGATTACAGTTCAGCTCCTATCATCAGGGAATCTTTGAACCTTCCATCAGAGTTGTAAAGTGACTAATACTGAAGAGGCATGTATGGAAAAATACTTGAAAAGGGGTTATTTCTCCTGTTACTCATAGAATTGGAAAAGAAATCAAATAGGATGAGTGGTCAGGTAATTAGAGAGCCTTTGGAAAGTACATGGGCAGCTGAACAGAATGTACATGGGCATAAGTGGATCTTTTCATTCCTTCCTCCCTTTTCCACTTTTGAACAGTCTCCTTTTGAACAAAAGGTCATTTTTCTTCATTTATTCTTCCCTACTTCCCTCTATTTTGTTGCCACACCATTCCTAAATTATTATTATTATTATTATTATTTATTTTTTCCCTGAAAAGACAACCAGAGAGGAGCTTCTAGAAAAAAAAATACCCTAGTTTTGAGACAAGGGTACCCTCACTTTGGAACATAATGATAAATATACATTACCCTCCATGAGTGTAAGGTGTAATTTTATCCTCTGATAAGGATGTAATTTTATCCTCTGAAGAGATCCTATAGCTGATTGAAATGCTGAGAACCCTGTTACAACGGAAATATTACTGTTGCAATGAACATTAGTACCTGAAGTCTGGTATGTAACACATGGCTGCTGTAACATCTGTCTGGCTCCACAAGTTCCACTCCCTACTTTCCACTTCTCCTAAAATGACCTTTTGTCAAAGTAATTTAATTCTTTTCTGACATGTCATTTTCCCCTAAGTTACTCCATTTCTATGTGAAGAATAATTGAAAAGAAAAATACAGCACCAGATACACCCTAAATTGGCATATATTTCTGTTTTGCATGAAACAGAAATTAAAATAAGAAGAAAGAGAGAGAGAGAGAGAGGTTCTTACCTGGCTGAATAACTTCTATTACCTTTTCCCAAGTTCCATCTGGGTAAGTTGCAATGGAGCAAAAATAAAGACCAACATCTTCCAAAGTGCTCTTGATGAAAGATAAGGACTTGTCTTCCCTGGAAGCATTTTCAAAATATATTCTTCCTTTGTATTTGTCTTCAATATGTATGCCATAGTTTGCATGCAAGACAGCTATATTTTCTTTATAAGTTACATTATGTTTCATCCAGGATGTCTGGATTATCACAGCTTTTTTTGGATATATGCATTCCAGTTTCATCTTCTCAGAAAGCTTTACAATTGAATCCACAAACCTTCCTTCTGCATGGGCTAAAACATGCACAGTTCAGTTTCACTATTAACATTGTGGAAAATTGGTATTATAGTAAAACTCAGAAATTACTTTGACAATGCCAAAAGCAAAACTCTGAAAAAAATGCTCACTAAAAATAAAGTCTAACCCTAGATAGTATAATTTTGTGAACATTATTGAACGGTTAACATTTGCACAAACCACACAGTAATACATTTGTTAATTATGATCCTATCTGTCATGATGTTGAAAGAAAAAAGGAAAAGGAAAAGGAAAAGGAAAAGGAAAAGGAAAAGGAAAAGGAAAAGGAAAAGGAAAAGGAAAAGGAAAAGGACAGAAGGACAGAAGGACAGAAGGATAGAAGGATAGAAGGATAGAAGGATAAAACTATAAAAGATAAGAATAGGGGAAGGATCTTACTTCCACAGAGCTGAAGAACAACAATAAGGAAAGCTGTGTGGTCCATCTCAAAGAACACTGGAATCAATGACTTTGGCACACAAGGTTTTATGCAGTCTCTGCACACCACATTCTCACAGGAAGTTTTTATTTCTGAAACATGAAAAACATCATGAACTTTTTGCTTTCACATTCTAACACCAACTTTGAGATATTGATGCAATTGCATAAGAGACTGAACTCATATCAAAATCCACCTCAAAGAAAATTTCTCATTACTATTGAATCTCCAGAAATACACATGAATACTGTAATAAATGATGAAGCAGGGATCTTTAGGCTTCAAAAGAACAAGCAAAACACTTCTATGTTATTTACTCAAAATCAACATAATTTCTCCATGTTTTGACACTGCAGTTCAACATCTACCTATTATTTGAGGAGCAAGAAATCTGGGAGAAGATAAGACAGTTCCTATAAATTAGAGTTTATAATTCTGTGATTAGTTACAAAAAGTAATGTCTTAAGATCTGAGAATTTACTTATCATAAAACATCACAAGTTAGTATTTAGGAATCATGATTGTGCAGCTTGAAATCTTTTGTTAAAGGTGTAAGAATCCTCAGTATTTGTGACTTATATTGAAAAATATCAAAACAAGCTACACTCTCACATTTGATTTTTCTCCAGACAATTGCAAGCATTTTTGCACTTCAGCAGGCCACAGTTTTGCAGAACTGCTTAAAATTGGAACAATATAATGATTGATTTGAAGTTTGAATCAACAATCTAAAATTCTCAAATGAATAAACAAATGTAGTTTGAACTAAAGCTGACAACAAAAATAAATAGTAATAAGTAATAGCCTGCATGAGATTGAGTAGAAATTAGCATTAGATCTGTTTAAGACTCCTATCACAATGCAACAACCTGTCTGTAAACCAAAACATGTATATTTATCGGTATGTATGAAAGTAGATGTGTTTTAGGATAATACAACATTTTGTTTTGCATTGTTCCAGTTCTTTGCTAGATCTCTAATTATCCATTGTTGTGGTTGTATTTTTTCTACTCTACCTTATTTTTCTAATATAGCAGAATATATTGATTTAACAATGAAGTGATAGAATAAATGTACTCTATGACAATTTTTAATTCAAAAACATGTACTACCTGAATTAAAGCTTATCTTTACTCTTAGGAAAAAATAAAAGGTAATATATTTATATAAGTATGTTAATAATAATGTGTCTTTGTTAAGCAATGAAAAAAAATTATAAAGGCTACTTTCCACAATTTCTTAAGCTCATATAATTTTTGTGATCTCATTATCTAGAAAAAGTTTTACTAAGGATTCAAGAACTTTATTTATTTTCTTCTTCTGGAAAGCCTGCCCTTGGAAGGGAACAGATCTGAGATTCAGTGTGAAAGTGTTTTTTCTTTTTTATCCTCATGATTTTTCATTTTTATAAGCGATTCCTTAATTTTCCTGTCCAATTGTCCTGGACAATTTTCCTGTCCTAGAAATCATATTTACAGCTGTAGGTAAAAACAGTTTTTCTAGGTAATATATTCCTTCTCAATACAGGAAAGTTCTAGTTTGTTATCTTATGAAGAAGTTCTGTTCTTCAAATTAATTGGATGCCTTACCCACTAATCAAAGTTCTTTAGAAAAATAGGAAAATATTATATACAAAACCTTTTTTTTTAGAAACCTGGGCCTAGCCTTCCAAGTTTAACAACTTTAACAACATTTAACAACAACAACAAATCTTATGTCCTTGCTTTCATAATGTTTTCATTTACATAGTGCTTTCTTTTTAATTACTGTAATATTCAATTTCCTCAAGCACTGGAACATTACAACAGCACAAGCTGTGAGGACCAATAATGTTTTATAACTCAATGAGCTTCTTTTTAAAAAAAACTTCACATTTTCTAATAGCAATCCTTAAGTGCAAGTTAACTGAACAATTAACATTTTAATATTTTCCTGGACAAGCCATAAACTGGATTCACAAAATACTCCATGGTGTCAGTAGTCCATCTTATCCTGAGTTTGAAATATAAATATATTATAAAAAAAAAAAAAAGTTGAAGACTTAGTCTTGTTTTATTTGGATTGCAAATTTATCTCTTCAAACTGATAAAAATATTAATGGACATTTAGCTTGTCTCAGGAAATAGGTGCATTGCTGAAAACAAGGACAGGAAATTGGAAGTTTCAGAAACCAAACTGCATATTTTGCATAGGAGAAGAAAGGATTCTGTGAGCTGAAGAGGTCTGGTTCCTGGATGCTGCGGGGCATTGTGGCCTTTAAACCATCAACATGGGATGTGTTTCTTACATTTAAATCTCTAATAATGTCAGTGACTAGCTGTTCTCAAACTGTAGCTGCAAATGAAGGGGCAAAAGACAAAGTTTTCTACCTTGAAGTTTGTTTGTTGGTTTTCTTGTCACATTACATATGCATATACGAGTTTACAGATGATTGATATTTTTGCAAATTGTACAGTGGAAAGAAAACATAAACATAAGTTTATGTTAACAATTTTTTTTTTCAATTATTATTACACATGAAACTTCTTACACATCTGTTCTTTAATTAAAGGTAAGATAAAGTACTCAGAATATCTCCAAAATAAAGACAAATTCTCTTAAGTGAAAATTATTCTTAAATTATCTGTATATATACAAATTACTTCTTTATTCATCTGGATTTCATACTCATTTATCTGCACATGGCATTAAAAGAAAAACAAAAGTTAAGAAATTAATGTTCATCTTTACATAATGTCCAACTTCACATAATGATCAATGATATAAAATGTTGTCTAAAGACATCTATTTGTTTTACAATAGACACAGCTACTACAAAGTCAGTCAGAGATTCTTGGTCAGTTAGTTGGTCCTAAAAACAGGGTCCTTTGTCACACCCATTAAGAGCAGCAGCCTGTAAACAGAGCATTACTGGGTCTCCCCCTAAAGACTGAATTTCATGCTCCCTCTAAACACCTGGGCATCATGCCTGCATTCACAAATTAGAAAGCTGTAGGCACTGTATGTACCACTTACCTACTGGCATAATTTGGGAGCAGGCACACAATTTGTGTCATTTTTTCACATAACATTTAACATATAAAAAGAGAAATAAACATTGCTTCCACACTGCCCTTCTGGGCTGTGAACATAACAGAGCAGGTTGCATAAGGGAAGGTCCATCTTCAGCCTTCCATCCTACCTACCTGACTTGTAACCTATGATTCTCCCTGTTCTCCCCAGCACCAAAAGGCTGGGAAATCCACATTTCTCTGATCATCTGTGGAGATTTGAGAAGAGACTTACAGGAGCAGCAGCAGCACATCTCATGGTCACCCCATCACCTGAGTGGTTCCTTAGGCTCTTCCTCATTGGTTCTCTGCCATTCCCTCTCTTTTTTCCCAATAATCCCACTTTCTCTCTGTCCTGTGAATCCCAATGCAAAGGAAGAAGAAATTCAGAGAGGCAATCAAGCCATTTTTCACTAATTGTTGGCTAAATGCTAATTACTGTTTGACAGCAAAAACAGCATAGTGGAATTTTCCAGCTGAATGTGTAACTAGGGTGTGGTTTAAAAGAAAAACTAGAAAGAGAAGAGAAAGAAGCAATTGCGCAGTAAATACAGTGGAGATCTACGGCTTGGATTTTAATCTTGACTTGAACACACATCTTCTGTGACCCTGAGTGAGTCATTTCATTTCTTGGTGCATTAATTTCCCCAAATCCAATACATAGATAATATATAATGAAGGCTGCTGTTTCAAAGCATGTCACAATAATTTCTGTAATGAGGTTCTCTAATGGAAATTGCTATAAAAGTGTGAAGAATAAGACATACATATAGAGCCAGCACAATGTTAATACCCTTTTTAATGATTCATTAGTATTTAAGATATAACAGATAGGCCTGCAGCAATAGTGCAGAAAAAGAGGCAAATATACTAGTGCTACCATCAGAATAAGGGCCTTGACCGTGGCAGTGAATTGAAGCAGGAGATAAGCAAAAAGGAGATCACTCCAGGTACTATTTATTTACCTATAAACATGGCCAATGGGAAAATGGACAGGGTCTGTTCAGGTCTGTTCAGTTTCAGTGATTCTTCAGTGAAAATAATGAAGAAAATACGCTGGGAAGAGTGATTTGCATATTTTGAGCTTGGTCTGATCATCTCTTAAGATTAGCTCTTCCTTCTAGGCACCAGGTTAACCAACCCAGAATGGTAGTTCAGTGACAAATGATATAACTCCCTCTTTCTCCAAAGATAAGGCTCTCTTCTCTACCGCCATCAAGGAAATTAGATTTTCTTTCAATTTTTTTAAACAGGAAGGCTGAGTGCTACAGTTGGATAAAGGCAAATAATTCAATCTGCTTTTTCCTATTCTGCATCTAATCTAATTGAATTAATAAAGACCACCAAATTGAATTAATCTACAAGCATGCCTGATGCAGTAACATAATGGATAAGATTCTTAACTATGTACTCATTCACCTCAGAGTAGAAGTTAACACCCAGTATTTCTCCAAAGAAACTGAAAAAAAAAAAAAAGAAAAAAAAAAAAGAAAAAAAAGTTGCGAATTAAATGCAATCACATTTTAGGGATAGATAACTAAATATGATCCAGACAGGGGCAAAATACATATATATATATATATTATATATATATATTATATAATCATTATATATAATATATAATATATATATATATATTGAATATAAAGGCCTTCTTCAATGTAAAAAAGTAAAGAAAATATAATTTATAAATTACACTTAAGTTCTTGATTTATTTTTTTTAAACACACTGATCACCAGGAGGCTATGCAATATAAGTTATAATTCTATGATGAAATGTTTCAGCCTGAAAAACTGCAAGAGGGAGGTCTTTAGATTATGTTCTTACATTTCTGGAACTGGAAAATTATTTGCAGTTTTGGAACCAGACCACTAACTGGATATTTATTCTAACACAACACTGAGCACCTAAACAGGTCAGGAAGCTGAAGACTGTTGGTGATAAAACCACAGCTGCAGTATGAAGGCTAGATATCACTACATGTTGAGATCCAGGAAGGGTAGTTTCACATTTATTTTCAGGGAGATTAATCACAAGTAATCTATGGCATCTGAACATAGAAAAGCTATGCAGAAAGACAGAATAAGCTCATGGTAAAATGTACTAATAGTAATAGTATAAAGGTCTGGTTAAGGAACTGGGAGAAACACCATTGCAGAACAAATTTTGAACTAGACACTGTAAAGCAATACAGCTGCTGACTCTAAAGTGAGAGGTGTGTTAGTAAGAGATAAGAAGGTTTGTGGCATTTCTTAAGTTCACTGTGTAAGCAGTGTTCCTTTGATGTGTTTGTGGCTAGACTGTCTGCCTGTTATGACTTACCAAACTTCAGAGAAGTTTGTGTGTCTGTTTGTGTGAAGGGAAAATTCTTAAAACAGATGCTGAAAGCACTCTTCTGTCCATTTGAATAAAACAAAAGTGAAAAAATATGACAAAAAAGTGACCTTAAAACAATTATTAAGACAATTAAAAAAAAAAAAAAAGTGTCCTACTTAAAAAACACAGAGAACCTCAACAAATAATCCCAAGAAAATTACCAAAAATTTCATAGAATCATAGAATATCCCGAGTTGGAAGGGACCCATAAGGATCATCAAGTCCAACTCCTGGCACCGCACAGGTCTGTCCAAAAATTTAGACCATGTGACTAAGTGCACAGTCCAATCACTTTTTAAATTCAGAAAGGCTTGGTGCAGTGACTACGTCCCTGGGGAGCCTGTTCCAGTGTGCAACCACCCTCTCAGTGAAGAACCTCTTCCTCATGTCATTTCATTTTAGGATTTAAAATTTTCTTTATATTTTAATTATATAACTGCTTAATGATAGAGGTTATCACCAAGCCATTTTCATCCACCTAAACATTTTCTAGTATGTGGTCAAATCTGTAAATATTTGCCATTGGTTCAATAAGGTATTTGAAAACATCTACAAAAATATATTTTAAATTCTTCTTTTTGTTTTAAAATAGAAGAAAGAAGATACTATTGGATTTCTATTCACTGTTTTTTGTTTTTTTGTTTTTTGTTTGTTTGTTTTGTTTTGTTTTTATTTTTGTTTTTTGTTTTTTTATATATATATATATAATTGGTCTATGTTATGACCTTGCATTTTTATCTTTATTAACATGAAAGACAGTATTTGAAAGGCATGAAAGAAACTAACTCACAAAGGAAAGTATTAAATTATATTTGAGTATCTATGAATTTAATGTACCAACACTTTTTAGTTGGCCATGTGCGTGGGCTTTTAAATTCCTGTCCTCCTGTTGAAGTCTCTTAGCTTATTAATTTCCAGAAAGTCATAATATTTACAGAAATCTGAAAGTTTCATTTTAATGAAGGAAAAATGGAAGCAGAAGAACTTCAAGGTCCTCAAGCAAATCCATTATTGGGAAGGGGCCTTTCCCTTTCAGAACACAGCCATTCTCTCTTATGTACCTGTTATCTTTCCTGAACTATTCTTTTCCTGATTCAACTCTACTTTTTATGTCAATCATGCTGATAAGAGAAAAAAAAACAAAAAAAAAAAACAAAAAAAAAACCTTTAAAACTGTTAAAAGCCAGTTCAAGGAAATGAATGTTGCTGCTTTTCCCTTTTGCTGGCAAAGGCTTACTGAACTGTTTCCTAAACAATATCCTCAAATATAGCCAGGATGTGAAACCTTCCTGCAGAGGCAGTTCAGTTAAGGTTGAGGTTACCCTGAATTATATGGCGTTGTCAGTTCAGACATGGACAAGACAAGGAAAATCTGGAACTGATAGATGGCAAAGAAGCTTATAGCTTTAAAAATGGCTTTCAAAATCCAGGGAGAAAGCTAAAGAGAGAAAAGACTGCATCTTTTATTTATACAGCATCTTCACCTTTTTTCGTTGATGCATTCAGGACCTGATACAGCCTACCTTTCTAGAATAAATAAATAAATAAGTAAATCTCAAGTATCTTATTTTCTTAAGCCCTTTTTGTGCCCCTTTTCTGAGAAAAAAAAATGATAAAGAGCAAAGTAGCAGAATTTATTTTTTGATATTGCTCATCTCTTTCCAACTAAATCAAATCAATCGCCCAATACTATCTAAAAGCTTCGCCCCCTACACAAACACAACTAAAGGGTCTCCCTCCCCACCAAACTCCAGTATCTCAAGTTAGCGGTGGTGATGTGTAAAAACAGAAAATCAGGTAACTCTTTGCTTTGTTAGCTATGTCTAGTTTGAAGACTTTGCATATTTCTTTTTCTGATTAAAAATAAAAAAGGAGGGAGCAGGGTGTCACTGGGCAACAGAGATGGAAGTTGCTGTTGGCCTATGGCTGAGAAAGGACAGGTTCGGCTAGACATTGAGGTAGGGCAGGAAGCCATGTGCCTGCAGCAAGAGCCCAGAAGCAGATGAGAAAAGACCCTGAAGCAGGAGGCAGACAACACCTGATGCCACCAAGGCAGTGGCCTTGTGAAGCCTTTCACCCAGGTGGCATGGAGAAGTTTTGCAGCAGAACTGGAGAGAGACCAGCTCCCAGGAGGACACAGGGTTTGGGGGAAAATTTATTTTCAGACTCTTTTATTTAATGAGTCACACCCAGCAGGTTTGACATCTTAGAGTTACCTTGTTCTGGTTCATTACCTGTGTTCTGATGAAAAGAAACCAAGGGCACCTAGGCACTTGGTACAGTGGTTTCATGGAAGGCAGTGGTAGTGCCTAACACAAGGTCTTGTTAACTTAGTGAGTGATCCACTAATTGTTACAGAGATTTCCAGAGAGCTAACTTGGCACAAATCCATGGTAGCTTTTCTTTTCCTCTTTTTGTTCTTTGACTGGTTTTAAATGCTGCAGGAGATACCAGCCCATTCAAACTGCCCCTTGAAAGCAGCATACTTCAGAACAAACAAGCAACCTCTTTCCCTAGAGGTATACTGCTAACGGTATTCAGAATAGAAAACTAAAAATATTTGCTAGCATACTTTTGAACAAACAAGGCTCTATATTCCCCCACTCTACAGAGGACAATGATCCTGGGGAGAGACAATAATATTAATTAATTAATTAAATTAAATTAATTAATTAATTTAAAAAAAAGAAAAAGAAATGGAAAACCAACAACTACTTCCTAACAAAACTTCTAATATGCAATGAAATGGAAGAAACAAACAAACAAACAGACAAACAAAAAAAACATCTGAAGACAAAATTTCTGTTTTATTGCAATTAATTACGCTCTGTTGGTTTTGGATTTTGTTTTTACCATTACATGCTCATATACTGATACATTACAATTCTTCAAGCAAAAATCCTATCTTTACTAAAATCAAGAATAGATGTTTCTTGATAACTATGCTGTTTTACAGTTCATTTGCTCAGGGAAGGCCTGACACAACAGTAGAGACTTTTCAAGAAAGGTCTTGCAGTAAACTGTAAATTAGTGGAACTAAGGAATATCTGTTGTAATCATTTGTTTTAGTAGAAATAGTATAATTGTACC